GCCAAGGTGGGAGGATCACTTGACCCCAGGAGTACTAGACCAGCCGTGGCAACATATCAAGACCCTGTCTCTCAAAATAATACTTTAAAATGTAGCTGGGCATGGTGGCATGCACTTTTAGTCCCAGCCACTCAGGAGGCTGAAGGGGGAGGATCTCTGAGCCTGGGAGCTCGAGGCTGCAGTCACTGTGATCACAGCACCACACTCCACCCTGGGTGACAGAGCAAGACCCTGTCTTAGAAAAAAATATAAATACATAAAACAAACGCGTGTTGTTCTCAGACACTGAGTTGGTAGCCATTTGTTACAACAGCCATAAGCCCCTCAAGCATCACCTACAATTGCCCCCTTTCCATCACTATCCATGGTCAAAAGACAAAGCTGCAACCTTGGCCAGGCACAGTGGCTCACGCCTGTAACCCCAGCACTTTGAGAAGCTGAGGCAGGTGAATCACTTGAGGTCAGGAGTTCGAGACCAGCCTGGCCAACATGGTGAAACCCCATCTCTACTAAAAATACAAAAATGAGCCTGGTGTGGTGGCACAGGCCTGTGGCCCCAGCGACTTGGGAGGCTGAGGCAGGAGAATTGCTTGAACTCAGGAGGTGGAGGTTGTGGCGAGCTGAGATCGCGTCACTGCACTCCAGCCTGGGCAACAGAGTAAGACTGCATCTCAAAACAAAACAAATGCTGCAACCTATATAGTTCAGAGATCTTAATTGGGTTTTCTTTGCAATTCTGGAATCGGGCAACACCTCATTTCATCAGATCGAATTAGCTACTAAAACGCCAGCTGTCTGGTCTAGGTCTTGCTGCCGTCTGCACAGAAAGCCAATCACTGAGACAACAAGGATTGCCAGGGAGGAATGCTTTATCCTGCAGCTGCAATCAAGGAGAAGGGGTGGTAAAGTCCCATATGTCTCCCTGACCAACTAAAATTGGGGAGTTTACATAGCTGGGGAATGGGAGAAAACAAATTCAGGGACGATGTTAAGGAAATAATCTTGATGGATGATGGGGTCTGGACTCTCATTGTCTGGATGTGATGATCTGATGAGTTTCAGTTCCTTGCCTGATGGTCAGTTTCCTGAGGAAGGAACCAAGATGAGACAAATGTTAAGTTTCAAGTTTTAAGACTAGGGAGGATCCATTTCTATGTTTATTGAAATAATCATAAGTGTTCGTTCTATGGAACAATTGGACCAGCACTTTGGGAGGCTGAGACAGGCAGATCACGAGGTCAGGAGATCGAGACCATCCTGGCTAACACAGTGAAACCCTGTCTCTACTAAAAAAATACAAAAAATTAGCCAGGCGTGGTGGCGGGCACCTGTGGTCCCAGCTACTCGGGAGGCTGAGGCAGGGGAATGGCGTTGAACCTGGGAGGCGGAGCTTGCAGTGAGCTGAGATCATACCACTGCACTCCAGCCGGGGTGACAGAGTGAGACTCCTTCTAAAATAAAGATAAAATAAAATAAAATAAAGTCTGTTAAACCTTCACTTTTGCAAAGCAGCGTTTTATTTATTTATTTATTTATTTATTTGAGACAGAGTTTCGCTCTGTTGCCCAGGCTGGAGTGCAATGGGTGCAATTCGACTCACTGCAAACCCCTGTCCCCGGGTTCAAGTGATTCTCCGTAGGCCGGGCGCGGTGGCTCAAGCTTGTAATCCCAGCGATTTGGGAGGCCGAGACGGACGGATCACGAGGTCAGGAGATCGAGACCATCCTGGCTGACACGGTGAAACCCGTCTCTACTAAAAAATATGAAAACTTAGCCGGGCGAGGTGGCGGGGCTGTATCCCAGGCTATCGGGAGGGTGAGGCAGGAATGGCGTAAACCCGGGAGGTGAGCTTGCAGTGAGCTGAGATCCGGCCACTGCACTCCAGCCTGGGCGACAGAGACGGACTCCGTCTCAAAAAAAAAAAAAACAAAAAAAAAAAAGTGATTCTCCTGCCTCAGCTTCCCAAGTAGCTGGATTACAGGCATGCACACCACACTTGGCTAAGTTTGTTTCATTTTTAGTAGGACGGCGTTATCCATGTTGGTCGGGTGTTGGTCTTGAACTCCGACCTTCACCACCGTGCTGGCTAATTTTTTTTTTTTTTTTTTTTGAAGTGGAATCTCGCTCGTGTCCCCCAGGCTGGAGTGCAGTGGCGGATCTCGGCTCACGTGCAGCTCGCCTCACCGGGTTCACACGCATTCTTCTGCCTTAGCCTCGAGTAGCTGGGACTACAGGGGTGCCCTGCACCCGACGGCGCCGGCTAAATATTTTTTTTGTATTTTTTTTTTTTTTTTTTTAGTAGGGGGTTGGTTTTCCCATGTTGCCGGTGTCTCGTTCTTCCTGGCTCAGGCATGCCTCCTTTTTTTTGGGCTCCAAGTGCTTCGGATCAGCAGGTCTACCGCGCCTGGCCCTTTCTTCTTTTTTTGAAACAGAGTCTCACTCTTGTTGCCCACAGTGGAGTGCAGTGGTGTGATGTTGGCTCACTGCAACCTCCGCCTCCCGGGTTCAAGCGATTCTCCTGCCTCAGCCTCCGGAGTAGCTGGGATTACAGGCGCCTGCCCCACGCCTGGCTAATTTTTGTACTTTTAGTAGAGTTGGGTTTTTGCCATGTTGGCCAGGCTAGTCTCAAATTCCTGACCTCAGGTGATCCGACCATGTTGGCCTCCCAAAGTGCTGGGATTACAGGCGTGAGCCACCACGCCCGGCAACTATAACGATCATAAAAGCATATATTGCTGCACGATATCAGGGCCTCTGGACCTTCCATTGTTGTAGGAGTGCATCCTCCCAGGCATTTGTAAGATATTTTCTCAATTGTAAACATCTTATGACCCTGGGTCGTGACTGGCAGCAAATGTGCCTTGTTACTTTTAAGATGGAATTGATTTGTGGCCGGGTGTGGTGGCTCATGCCTGTAATCCCAGCCCTTTGGGAGGCAGAGGTGGGCAGATCACCTGAGGTCAGGAGTCCGAGACCTGCCTGGCCAAAATGGCGAAACCTCATCTCTACTAAAAATACAAAAACTAGCCAGATGTGGTGGTGAGTGCCTGTAATCCCAGCTACTTGGGAGGCTGAGGCAGGAGAATCACTTGAACCCGGGAGGCGAAGATTGCCGTGAGCAGAGATCACGCCACTCCACTACAGCCTGGGTGACAGAAGCAGACTCTGTCTCAAAAAAAAAAAAAAAAAATGGAGTTGATTTTAAAATGGTGTCACCTGGCTCTCCTATGCTCCTGTTTCTCTAACATTCTGATCATTCCTCATGCCCTGAAATGACCCTTTTTTATCTATTGTCTGTCTGTCTGTCCCATCAGACAGTGATCCCTGTGAAGGCGGGAATCTTGTGTCTTTTCTTTTTTAAAGTAGAGACGGGGTCTTGCTATGTTACCCAGGCTGGTCTTGACCTCCGGGGCTCAATCACTCCTCCCACTTCAGCTTCCCAAAGTGCTGGGATTCCAGAGGTGAGCCACCTTGCCTGGCTGGAGTCTTAGGTCTTGTTTTCTCATGGGTCCGCATTTAGTGAGCAAGTCATCTTGTTAGAGGAATTCAAAGCAGAGTGACTCCATTTTGAGTAGGGGCTGGGTAAAATAAGGCTGAGACCTACTGGGCTGCATTCCCAGACGATTAAGGCATATTGAGTCACAGGATAAAACAGAAGTTTGTCACAAGATACAGGTCATAAAGACCTTGCTGATGAAACAGATTGCAGTGAAGAAGCCGGCCGAGACCAAGATGGCAACAAGAATTACCTGTGGTTGTCCTCACTGCTACACTCCCACCAGCGCCATGACAGTTTACAAATACTATGGCAGGCTGGGCGTGGTGGCTCACACCTGTAATCCCAACACTTTGGGAGGCTGAGGTGGGTGGAACACTTGAGGTCAGGAGTTCGAGACCAGCCTGGCTAACATGGTGAAACCCTGTCTCTACTAAAAACACAAAAATTAGCCAGGCATGGTGGAACACGCCTGCAATCACAGCTACTTGGGAGGCTGAGGCAGGAGAATCACTTGAATCCTGGAGGCGGAGGTTGCAGTGAGCCAAGATTGCACCACTGCCCGCTAGCCTGGGCAACAGAGCAAGACTTTTTCTCAAAAGATAAATAAATAAATAAATAAACGATTGCCACAGCAACGTCAAGAAGTTACCCTATATGGTCTAAAAAGGGGAGGTATGAATCATCCACCCCTTGTTTTAGCATATCATCAAGAAATCACCATAAACATGGGCAACCAGCAGCCGTCGGGGATGCTCTGTCCATGGAGAAGCCATTCTTTTATTCATCTACATTCTAAATAAACTTGCTTTTGCTTTGCACTGTGGACTCGCCCTGAATTCTTTCTTGCACGAAATCCAAAATCCCTCTCTTGGGGTCTGGATCCGGACCCCTTTCCTGGAACAATCTGACATAGAGGAAACGTGCATGAAAGGTGGGGAGGAGGCTGGGGAAGGAATGGGATGGGAAGTCCTCTTTAAAGGGAAGGCACAGGTGGGCAATGGAGGGACATTTGGGAGACACTGCGTATGTTTAGGAAGTGGGTTTGGAGCCTGATCTTTAAGTCAATGTCTGTGACTCAAGAGGCGTCCAGGGTCCTCTTAAGTCATCCTATATGTGGCCCCAACCCCATGTGAATGCTGCGGGCACAGGAACGATGTGTGGATTCCCAGAGCCCAGAATACAAGGCAGGCGCATAATACATATTTGCTGAATAAAAGAATGAAGAACAAGGGCTGTCGCGACGCGCAGCCAGGTCACATTACAAAATTTTAATGAGCCGCTGCCCGCTTCTAGGGGGCGCAGCGCACTCTACAAAACGCTCCAATTCCGTGTGGATCCCGGAACCCTTATTTCGCGCTACTCAAGTTGCAACTCCGGAGGGAAGACGCCGGGACTTCCAGCTTGATAGACGGGGATTGGAACCAATGAAAGAAGTCGGCTATGTATGCTGCAGCCAATAACAGGATGAAGGAAGTGACGTTTACGGACGTGAGGCTTCCGTCGGAAAAGCTTGGTACTTAGCATTTCTCAGGTGCTTGCGAGGTGATTAGAAGGCAAAGATGTCGGAGCGAAAAGTATTAAACGTAAGTGTTGGGCGACTGGGGCTTTCCAATCGGAGCGGGACATCCCGGAACTCCGGGAGAGGGAGGAGCTTCCTGGGATCTCTTCTTTGGAACCCTTCTTTCCCAACGGCCCTCCATGGGATGGGGCTTCCCAGACTCTTCCCCAGACTCCTCCCCATCGCCTTCCGTGGGGGGTGGGCCTTCGCTGTCTTCCCTTCCGGGCAGGGGTGTAGCCATCACCTGTGGGGCGTGGCTTGGGCTTTTACCCAATCACTTCACCAGATAGGGTTTTTCCCGGAGGGAATGATCCAATCACGTTATCTGGGGGCGGGGCTTCCTTAAAATACTGGCGGTCTTGTGCCATCCTTTTGAGGGGCGTGGCCGTAAGAAGCCCTGCCCCTCTTGGGGCCTGTAGCCAATCGTGTTCTTTGGAGAGGGGTGTGTGTGTGTGTTTTTGTTGGGGTCTGGTCATGCAGATACCCTCTGCCTGACAGTGGCCAAGATTCCAGACTCCTAGAAGAAAAGCAGAGGTTCAGTATAAACCATACTGTTGGCACAGTTCTGTTTTTTTTGTTTTTTGAGACTGAGTTCTGCTCTTGCTGCCCGGGCTGGAGTGCAGTGGCACGTTCTTGGCTCACTGCAGCTTCTGCTTCCTGGGTTCAAGCGATTCTCCTGCTTCAGCCTCCTGAGTAGCTGGGATTACAGGTGCCCGCCACCACACCCGGCTAATTTTTGTTTTGTATTTTAGTAGAGATGAGGTTTCACCATGTTGCCCAGAGTGGTTTCGAACTCCTGAGCTCAGGCAATCCGCCCACCTCAGCCTCCCAAAGTGCTAGGATTACAGGCGTGAGCCACCGTGCCCGGCCGCACGCAGGTCTTTCTAGGAGAGCGGTCCCAGGCTTGCTGTAGGAACTCCTGGGAAACAGGAGCCCTGGGATACAAAGGGAGTGTGAGTATGGATTATGACAGATAACTCCACTGCACCACTGGAAAATAAAGCACTTTGTGTTTGAAGCACCTGCTGCGTGCCAGACACTGCAAAGAGCAGTTTATCCCCCTTGTCTCAAGGAACGCGTGTAAAGACTCTTGGAAGACAATGTGCCCATTTCACAGAGGAGTAAACTGAGCCCCGCAGGTTTCAGCTACTTAGGATTCAGATCCAGGGACATGACTGTGTAGGAAACGATGTAGTATAGTAATTGGGAGGCTGAGCTAACAGAGTCCTGGTTTACCCTCTACAGAGTTGCTGGGGAGTTGGGACACCCTGGGGAACTCAGTCTCCTGCCGGAACAACAGAAGCACTAAGCAAAGCTTAACCTCTACAAAGGGCAGGGTGTGGGGCCTCACACATGTAATACCAGCACTTTGGGAGGCCAAGGAAGGTGGATCACCTGAGGTCAGGAGTTCAAGACCAGACTGGCCAACATGGTGAAACACCATCTCTACTAAAAATACAAAAATTAGCTGGGTGTGGTGGTGGGTGGCTGTAATCCCAGCTACTGGGGAGGCTGAGGCTGAGGCAGGAGAATCGCTTGAACCCGGGAGGCAGAGTTTTGCAGTGAGCTAATATCACGGCAGTACACTCCAGCCTGGGCAACAAGAGCAAAACTCCGTCTCAAAGCAAAAACAAACAAAAAAACTGGCTTTTTAGAGCTTCCCGTGTAGATAACATTTCACGTGTATTGTCGTGACTGGTATTTAGGAGAATCAAATGCATCCTGTATGTCTCCACTGAGAGAGAGTCAGGAAGCTTGTGCCTGGCCTCCCTCCGACTGTACTGAGTCCTGCCAGTCCTCTCTGCCTATCGCAGAACCTAGGGTGGGCTTGGGGACCCCCGACACAGCTCCCCAGAGCCCCTTCCCTCTGCCATGTCCTGCCCCTGCTTCTGAAAATAACTCCCCCAATGTTTCCTTCCTCCCCCGCAGAAATACTACCCGCCGGACTTTGACCCGTCAAAGATCCCCAAACTCAAGCTCCCCAAAGACCGGCAGTACGTGGTGCGGCTGATGGCCCCCTTCAACATGAGGTGAGCACCCCCCGCGAGACCCCACACACCAGCCGTGGCTGAAGGACACAGTGCCTGGCATCGACAGAGGTGACTCGTCCTGTGTTCAGACCAGATCACTGGTCCTGGCTCAGACATTGACCACTCTGGCCCTCCTTCGCCTCACCATTTGGAATTAAGCTCTGGACCTTTTAGAACCCCCGCCTCCGCCAGTGCCTGCCTTGAGATCTTGGTGGTTAGTAAACATATGAGCAGAGAAGATAGGACCCCACAGAGTTGCAGCCCCATAGATATATTTCAGCTTCTCCAACAGCCAAGCTCATCCTATCCCAGGGTCTTTGCACACACTGCTGCCCCTGCTTGGAACTCTCTCCCTCTACTTTCTTTCTTTCGTTGTTGTTGTTGTTGTTGAGACAGAGTCTTGCTGTGTTGCCCAGGCTGGAGTGCAGTGGTGTGATCTCGGCCCACTGCAACCTCCACCTCCCGGCCTCAAGCGATTCTCCTGCCTCAGCCTCCTGAGTAGCTGGGATTACAGGTGTGTGCCACCATGCTCGGCTAATTTTTGTATTTTCAGCAGTGTTGGGGTTTCACCACGTTGGCCAGGCTGGTCTCAAACTCCTGACCTCAGGTGATCTGCCCTCCTCGGCCTCCCAATGATTGCAGGCGTGAGCTACCACGCCCGGCTTTCTCCTTCTACTTACACATGGTGGGCTCCTCTTGTCTGCCATAGGTCATGGCTCCAATCTCACCCCCTCCGGGAGGCCTCCATTGTCCCCACTCACGGTACCCACATCTTGCCCTTTGTAGCACTTTAGAATTATTGTATTTCACCAACTCTAAACCCCACACCTCTTCATGCTGTAGCATATCTGAAATCACACACCTGACGAGGAAAGAGACATCTGGGTCAGTGAAATTTGTTTCATGCCCATGTGTTGATGGCCTGTCTGCTCCTCCCCCTCCTTCATTCATTTATTCATTCAACACTCATTTATTGGGCACCTGCTGTGTGCCAGGGTCTGTGCTGGGCGCCAGAAACAAAGTCCCTGGCCTCATGGAGCCCACAGTCTACTGGGAAGTGGAGATCATTGGTAGTCAGGCAGGTGCACGGGCCCCGGAAGTCAGGCAGGAGAGAGAGCCCCTGGGGCAGTGGCGGAGGAGGGAGGGCTGTAGGTAGCTGGGGTGGTGAGGGCGACATCAGGCAAATTGCTGGTGGCGCTGAGGTCTGAGGATGAAGGGCGTCACCGGCCATGGGACCGTAGGAGCAAAGGCCTTGAGCTGGGACTGAGCGGGGGGTGTTTGCAGGCTCAGACAGGAGGCGGGCGTGCTGGGCTGGGGAGCAGAGCCCCGAGTAGGAGGGGAAGAGGGAGATGGGGCAGCATTTTTCTGTGCGGCGTCTTTCCTCCTGGAGGGTGGGATGCCCCGTAAGCACCAAGATTGCTTCTGGCAGTGCATGACAGGCAGGCCTCACCTACTCAGGGGGCTTCCCAAGCTGGCAACCCTTGGACCGAGCCCCAGAAAGATATGAATGAGAACACAAAGTTCTCAGGTAGAGGAAATTTGGACACAGGGTGGGGCAGCCTGCCCCGTGAAGGAGGAAGCTCCCCACCGCTGGAGGCAAGCAAGCAGTGATCTTGCAGGATGTCGCAGGGACAGCCCACCAGTGGGAGCCAGAGTCCCAAGACGGCTCGCTCCCCTACATCCCGCCCCGCAGGTGTAAGACGTGCGGAGAATACATCTACAAGGGGAAGAAATTCAACGCTCGGAAGGAGACGGTGCAGAACGAGGTCTACCTGGGCCTGCCCATCTTCCGCTTCTACATCAAGTGCACGCGCTGCCTGGCAGAGATCACCTTCAAGGTAGACGAGACGGCCAGCCAGGCCGGTCCCTCTCCCCCAGCACACCTCAGATCAGGGCAGGCCCCGGGGTTCCTTACTCCGATCCTCTCCATGCAGGGAATCTCATTTCAGTTTATCCCCAATCAACAGACAACAGTTTGGGGGAGATGTTCATGGCAGCATTCTATATAAAGGCAAAAAGACAGAAGCGACCTAGATGGATAATAATAAGGGATGAGAAGAACAAATTAGCTTGCAGGCTGGGCGCGGCTCACACCTGTAATCCCAGCACTTTGGGAGGCCAAGGCAGGCGGATTGCCTGAGGTCAGAAGTTCAAGACCACCCTAGCCAACATGGCAAAATGCCGTCTCTACTAAAAATACAAAAATTACTGCGCATGGTGGCGGACTATAATCCCAGTTACTCAAGAGGCTGAGGCAGGAGAATCGCTTGAACCTGGGAGGCAGAGGTTACAGTGAGCGAAGATTGCACCGCTGCACTCCAGCCTGGGCGACAGAGTGAGACTCCATCTGAAAAAAAAAAGCCGGGCACAGTGGCTCATGCCTGTAATCCCAGCAGGTTGGGAGGCCAAGGCCAGAAAGAGAGCCCTTGAGGTCAGGAGTTCAAGACCAGCCTGGCCAACATTGTGAAACCCTGTCTCTACTAAAAATACAAAAATGAGCCGGGTGTGGTGGCTGTTGCCTGTAATCCCAGGAACTTGGGAGACCAAAGCAGGAGAATTGCTTGAACCCGGGAGGCAGAGCCTGCAGTGAGCCGAGATTGCGCCATTGCATTCCAGCCAGGGTAACAAAGTGAAACTCTGTGTCAAAAAAAAAAAAAAATTAGCATGCAATGGAATATTACGCAGCCAATAAAAATCACAATTTGACTTTTAATTGTTACCCTGAGGATTTGAGGAAAGGCTGAAGAGAACTTAAAATTTTCTCTTCATATGCTTAAGTACTCTTTGAGTACTTTTTTGCGATAAACTTTCTTTCTTTCATTAAAAAAAGCATTTTGGGCTGGGCGCAGTGGCTCACAGCTATAATTGCAGCACTTTGGGAGGCCAAGGCAAGCAGATCAGTTGAGGTCAGGAGTTCGAGACCAGCCTGGGCAACATGGCGAAACCGTGTCTCTACCAAAAAGAAATTTAAAAATTAGCCAGGTGTGGTGATGCATACCTGTAGTCCCAGCTACTCGGGAGGCTAAGGTGAGAGGATCACTTGAACCCAGGAGGCTGAGGTTGCAGTGAGCCATGATCCTGCCATTGCACTCCAGCCTGGGCAACAGAGTGAGACTCCGTCTCAAAAAAAAAAAAAAAAAAAAAAAAAAAATCAAAAAAAGTAGTGTTACTATTAGCATTTAGACCGAAGGTAGATTTCAGTTTTTCTGCTAATGTCACTTTTCTGTTCCAGTGTGTAATTGAAGATACCAGGGTGTATTTAGCCTCTCTATTCAATAAACAATAACAGGGGCATGCTCTATACATATTCGTACATAGGGTTTATAATCAAAGAAAAGGTGTTAATAAATACAAAGGGCAGAAATCACAACATGTGCAGAGCCTTGGAGATCTTTTTTTTTTTTTTTTTTTTTTGAGACGGGGTTCCACCTTGTAGCCAAGGCTGGAATGCAGTGTCACAATCTCAGCTCAGTGTAACCTCAACCTCCCAGGTTCATGCGATTCTCATACCCCAGCCTCCAGAGTAGCTGGGATTACAGGTATGCACCACCTTGCCCTGCCTAATTTTTGTATTTTTAGTAGAGACGGGGTTTCG